ACAATAATCCAAGGCAAATGTTTTTTATATGGTTTATTTGCAGTTGGTAGAAAAGCCTTTCAAAATCGCAATGGTCTATGGAAATAACAGCATCTCAATGAAATATGGTTTTTGATTTTTTTATTGCCTTTAAAAAAAGTCTTAAAAAAAATCAGAGGACTTGATTGTCATGGATGGCCATACAACAACATAATTTATCAATGGCATATGGCTCTTTTCCCCACTAAAAATATTTGGAATGATTTGAGAAATCCAGCTGGTAGGACCCATTGCTTCAGCTAATATTCCTGGACTGTCCAATACTTGAAAAGAAGTATATTACTTAAACCTGGCATCTTGGATTGAAAACTATGAATGGAGGATCTGGGGCTGTCTCCTCAGTAAGGGTGAACATGAAGAAGTGTTGAGAAAATGACTGTTCTTTGAATGTTTAAAACCTGTTCTGCTTTTACAGAGACACAGACGGGACTCCAGGCCTCAAAACAAACCCCACTCCCCCCCCACCCCCCCACCCCCGCCTTTGTAGCACCTGGACCTGTGTCTCTTAGCTTCTCATGTACGCTTTTGTGTCAAAGAAAATGTCCCCAGGCTAACTTTAGTTCTTCATGCAAATTGTGTGGTAGAGTCAGTCTTTTTTTCAAGGATGAAACTGGGGCTGAAGTTGTCATGTGGGTTTGGAACTTTTTTTTTGTAATTAGCCACGGGTGGGAGTTAGCAGGAGCTGGCTCTCTGTTCTGAGTTCTGAGCAAGTGACTCCCAGGCACTATTTTCAGAGCTGTGCCGACACTTGTTAATAATGCTGGTATATAAAATCGTGCTTATTCTAAACTCATTTAGATACAAGGAAAATTATCGAGAAGGAGCCAAAGAGAAAGGGGGAGACAATTAAGTTACTGATTGTTGGAGACCGAATGTTAGAAATTTAAAGCAGAACCAGAGAAATCCTTTTCTGTCAGGTGTGAGCACTGGGGGTTAAAGTGAAAAGTATTTTTCACCTTCACACTGAGTCCACTGTGTTCCATAAGGGTGAGCTGGCCTGGATACCCTCCCTTCTCCACCATTGGCAATGAAACTACTCCAGTAAGCTGAACTTCCAAAACATAGATGGTGATGCCACTTTCACCTTTTAATACAATGGATTCCCAAGTGTAACACAGGATTTTGGACCAGATTCTGAAATAGGAAAGGACATCAGTGGAATATTCAGTGAAGTCTGCATTAAACCTGGGGTTTAACATGTTTTATCGGTGTAAACATCTTTGTTTGAAAATGTACCATGATTAAAAATGTTAGGAAAAGAATACAGGAAGACTCTGTTCTGTGTTTACAATTACCCTATAAATCCAAATAGTTTAATGCAATGATGACCTTTAGTTGCTCTGACTCTGATCTTGGAAAAGCAGGCAGGAGGAACCCTTCCGGGGACACACACCTTTCCCTGGACAAAAAGGGAGGTGACGGGATAGTAAGTGGAGCTATTAGCAGTAGCAGGAGACACAACCCAGCAGTGCTGCCACACTCTGGAGTTTCCTGAGAAACCACCACCAAATGATGCTGGGTCTTTGACCATGCACAGGAAAGAATTTCACAATGAGGCTGAGCGAAGCAAAGTCAGTGAGTGTACTAAGTAGAGATAAGGAACAATGTACATACTTAAATATCAGTAAGGACAGTTTTCGAGATTGAGACCTAAGAAAATGACATTTGTATGTATCCTAGACACAGAGTGGACTCCTGAAGACAGGCAAGGGCAGTGAACACCCAGTACATAGATAAATTCATAAGAATGTCACATTTTTGGTGTCTATAATTCTGTGGCTTTTGAAGTTACATTGCTCAAAGGACAGAGTAATTTAAACAAGATTTGAAAATTAAGTGCTGTTCTAAAAACAAGTGCAAAAATACTAGCTGATTTATTTATTTTTCTTTAAGCGCCTCCTTTTGTAAAGGAAATTGGAAGGCAGCTTTGAGGTATCTTGCTTTAGGTTGAAAAGAAAACATAAAGGTAACAAATACTCTAACTCCAAGTAACCTTTTTTATTTACTGTTTTTAACATCGTGTCTGAGGTTCTATCTTAGAAAAGGGGATATTATCTCTGCAGACAATCTTCAAAGCAAATTTGCTGATTGTACTTTGTTCTTGACTCTGAATGAAGGGCTTCAACCAAACTCCAAGATGAGGGGCTCCTTTCTCTTGTTGTATCCTTGAAGTTTTTTATCTTCTTATCCTGCCTTTGGGGCTGGATGAAGGGCGATGCTACCACTTGCCAAGCAAACCATTTGGTTTACACTGTCTGCTTGATTAACTAAGCAGACAAGCAGACGGCTCAAAAAAATCCATGAAATACTCAAACCAAAGAAGGCCCAGCCCACCCGCTCCATATGTCATTTGCTTTCAGTAGGATGGTGTTGCATCAGTGTGACCACATGTCTTTGGACTCTTGGTCCCCATTTGGTGGTGCTGTATTGGGACATTATGGAATCTTCAGGAGACTCACTGGAGGAAGCAGGCCACTGAGGGCTGGCCTTGAGTTTTAATGCCAGGCTCTACTTCCTGTCTCGGCTTTGTTCATGCTGTGCTGATATGAAGAGGGGATCCATCTGTGTGTGCCCATGGCCAGAGAGCTGCCTGCTGCTGTGTCTACACCCGATCCCCTTAAACTGAGTCAAAATAAACCCTTAGCAGTGATGAAAAGAGTAACCAGTACAGTGGCCCCACTGACTAGCCCTCAATTCACTGTGCATTTTATATACTATCAATTAATAAAGGGAGATCACTCAAGAGGGCAGTATCAAGAGTTAGCAACAGACCTCCAACTTTTAGAGACCTTTACTAGGTAACAAATGTTGAAACTATGGTGCAAAGAGTAATATTTTACTACATTAAACATTTGAATGTATTTTGTGTGTGTGCACACACATGTTTTGGCACATATGTGGTTAGAGGACAGTCTAAGAGAATGAGTTCTCTCCCTCAACCATATGGATCCTGGGGATTGGACTCAAGTTGTCAGGCTGGGCAGCAAGCACTTTAACCCAGAGTCATTTCATAATCATATAGTCTACATTTTGTCCTATAAAATCCTTGAAGCACACATTTTTCTCTTCAACACAAAAATACTTCCAAAAACACATATAAGGTTTCCAGTTTTTTTTTTTTTTTTTTTGCAAAGATCAATCTTGGCATTAAACACCATTGTTTCAAGACTACAGATTAAAAAAAAAAAAAAAAAAAAAAAAAGGCCTCTTGGGGTTCCTTGAAGATTGGTGACAGAACAAGAAATTCCATGTAGAATTTCTCTTAATAGTGCTGAGTACTGAGCCCAGGTCTCCTGACTGCCAGGCACAAGCTACATTTCTGCAGCCTTGAAAATCAATGAGTTTTTAGAAATGCTTAATATTTCACATTCCCGTGTGACTGCATCAGACACAGCAGTCCACTGGTTCCGTGTTCACATTCCCGTGTGACTGCTTCAGACACAGCAGTCCACTGGTTCCGTGTTCACATTCCCGTGTGACTGCTTCAGACACAGCAGTCCACTAGTTCCGTGTCACATTCCCGTGTGACTGTTTCAGACACAGCAGTCCACTGGTTCCGTGTCCACATTCCTGTGTGACTGTTTCAGACACTGGTTCTGTGGTGCTGAGGGTGAAAAGAGTAAGTAGCTCTGCAAGGGAGAAAAGTGGACCTTTATATAAAATAAGAGACAAATTATTCCTGCTACAGAAGCAGTAAGAAAGGTGGTTTATTGGTCAGTGGCTAAAGGCAGAGTTTTTAACAAATAGTGTGCTAGGATGATAGGGTGGCCATTTTCACCCAGATGGGAAGATGCTGACTGTATCTGATGTTTGGACCAGACCATCAGGGAGCATGGTGAGAACAGTCTGAATGTGGAGAGCAGTTAGGTGATAACACCAGAGGTAGGAAAGATCGTCAGTTAAAGGTAGAAGAGATGGAGAATGAAAGGCCAGACTAGTACTAATGTGTTTTTTGTTTATTTATTTATTTATTTATTTTTTTGCCTGAGCAACAAGGAAGGCTAAGGTGTCATCAATAGAGATGAAAAAAGCCACAAGAGTGGACAGTGGCTGACTGGAAACTCAGTCTTGGCAATGATGTGATCCACCAGGTGTCCATTGGAGGCACTACACAGGTAGCCGGCTTGATGCGGGGCTAGGACTGGAGGGTGAGAGCAGAGCTAGAGCTCTGAACTTGGGAATCATCAGCAGGTACCGAGATCCACAGCCTAAGCCCAGAGCTGTCCACACTTTAGAGGTCAGGGACAGGAGAAAGAACTGAGAAGCCTTGCCTCACCCTCTTACAGCCCAATGTATGCCTGGGAAACCCTGCAGAGCAAATGAAGTCTGTCTATAACTATGGTCAGTGACCTGAAGAGGTCAGGAGAAGAGGCACACATTCACTCTCTCAATTTTAGACGCACTTTAATATTTAAGACAATTCATTCTTTTTGAGAATGAACTAAACAGTTACCTAGAAACCTGAACTGGGGAGGTAGTTTCTGGGAAGAGGAATAACCCAACAGACTTGAAAAACATTATATAACTGAAAATAGGTTAAAACAACTATATATAATACAATCCGTTCAAAATTTAAAACAAATTCTGAATATATGGGATCTGAGGAAATTTATTTTATGCTTTTAAAAAAGAAAACAGTATCAGCAGTCTCAGTACTAGCTTTAAAAACAAGCTACCTGTGAAAGCAGAGCTGCCAAAAGCTAAGCTAACATACTCTTTGCACCCTGGTTTCTGGGCCCTGAGTATGCATAAAACTGTGGTATTACTGTGGTAGAAATGAAGTGTCATTTCCTAGGGCATAGCACACTCTCAGAGAATGCTCCTGGTATTTATGCATTTTTTACAAACAGTAATACAAATGTGGAAACAGATTTGAGCATTATAGTCAAATAAAATCAAAGAACACATCCTTAGATGGCTTGCTGATTCCTGGCAGCCCAGCAGTTAAGACAACACACATACAAAGTGCAAAGCCCATCATTTATTTAAAATGAAGTCAAATGATAAAAACAATTTTGTGCTAAGACAGGCATTTAAATGAATCTCTATCACTTTAAGAATTCATTACAATATCTGTGTGATCTGGACACCCAAGTCTCTCCATAATTACAATGAAGATATTTTCCAGTAGCTATAGGATGCCAGGGGTAGCCAGTGGTGTGGAGAAACTACCTACTAGACAATCCAAATGGCCTTAGGAAATGAGGTTTTTGACAGTGACAGCCTAGGGTCTGGAGAACTCATTTCTCTGCTTGGTGCAATTTTAAACAGATTCCTAGCCTCTTTATATTAATGTAGCAGTATTTCCTGGAGAAAAAAAAAAATTGTAAAGAGTCTTTCCTGCTAACACTTGCCAGGCTGTTTTTCAGCTGGGGCTCTTCATGTGTAAGCCCCTGATGGAAAGATTACAAAGGCTGGGAAACACCCTTAAATAACTACTTTTCAACTGCTAACACCTCCTTGACAGCTTTTCTAGATGGAGAATAGAACAAGTGTGCCAGTGCTCTACATGGCCCCTCTGGGTGGACTGGAAGGATGTGATTTTAGTTCAAGAGCCCTGATTACAGGACACACAAGCTCAATGTCTTCTCCTTCTGCTATGCCATTCATGATTTTCCCTTTTCTTCTCAATTTCCTGTTTTGGAAACTGGGGTAAGTCCCAGCAGGCAGGCAGCATGGTGGGGATGCTGTCCTTTGTCCAACCATGAGGAAGGTAAGGCAAATAAGCTTAAGAGAAATTTGTGAACAGGCAGAGATGACCCACTTTGTACTTGTCCTTTGCAGCCAGAGATCAGACACCTGAAGAATCCCAGCTCCAACTTGACTATGTAAGGGTCCATGACCCTTATTTAAAATGGAATCTGGCTCCTCCTCAGCTGAATTCTTATCTATGCTGTGGAACAGCAGGTAACTAAAGTCCAGGATCCAGGACATCCACATCTGCCCCCAACCAGATAGTTCCAAGCTTGGAGATTGCTGAAGGTTAGAGGCTCTGAAGCAGTACACAGTTGGGTCACCCATGAACTTAACTAGGTTTTATCAGGGACACAAGCTGTAGTTCGTTTCCACTTTCAGTCTTCCATATTAGTGAATTTTCTCTTCTTATAATTCTGAACGAGGTTGGATGCTGTGATCTGAGAAGCCTGACCCTTTTCCCAACTCTGAAAGTCATTCAGCCCTTTCTGCCCTATTTGAAATAAGCCTCTCTCTGTCTCATCTAGCCTGGATACCAGTGCTGAAGTGTCTTCATTGTAAGAATTCTGGGAGGAGTCCATGATGCGGCGGAACCGTCCAATAAAAGTCTGAGGAAGAGTAAGAGAATCAGGGGCAATATCACATCGTATAAAGCCAGACACATTGAAAACCTTTGCTAATTTATTTTGGGGTGCAGACAGAGGGCACACATGTGATATCATGGATGTGTGTAGATGTTAGAGGATAACTTGTGGGGGACAGTCCTTCTACCAGTCTAGCACAGGCTATCAGGTTCAGCTGCAAGTGCCTTTATCCTGCTAAGCCACCTTGCTGGCCCTTCAATGTTTTTTGTTTGTTTGTTTGTAACTAGAGTATTTAAAGTACTTATTTATTGGGCAGGGTCTCACTATGTAACCTCAGCCAGCCTAGAACTCAGAGATCTACCAGTTTCTGCCTCCCAAGTGCTAGAACTAAAAGTGTACACCACCACATCTAGCATTATTGTTATTTTTTTAATTATGTAGATATGTGTATACGGATATAAATATATGCGACCTCATGTTGCTGGAGTTACAGGCAGTTGTGAGCTACCTGAAGTGGGTGCTGGGAATTAAACTCAGGTCCTCTGCAAGAGCAATGTGTGCTCTTAGCGCTAAGCCTTTTATCCAGCCCCTATAATGACTGGAACATTTAGATGGATTCAAAGAATTTGATCTCAGGACTCACCCAGGAGGCTTGAATACCTTCTATTACTTAAGAAAGGCTTTGTTTCTTTTACAGTAAAATAGGATGTTATGGAAATCCAACAAATTTTTACTAAAACCAGTGAAGCAATGTATGTAGAGCATGTAGCAAGAAGCTGGCACATAGTAAGCCTCTGGAAAGCATTAGTAACAATGACTACAGAAATTATAATGAACAGCTTTCAACCAGATGGGATTTTGGACTAGCTGAATTCAGTTTCTATTTTTCTCAGTCTAAGAGCAGGATGGAGATGTATATGATCAAAGAGCTTTATTTTACCACTGGGCTCTGAGCAAACCCACAAAAGCCCCAATCTAGTTTTCCCATCTGTCTCTCACAGCAAAACCATTTAATCTGGAAGCAGTGATGGAAACAAAAACACACAACTCATGTAAAAAACAAAAAACAAACAAAAAAAAAAAAACTTTAATTCAAGAACAAGTGCTGGGAGTTGGGCCTATGGGCACAGAATGTAATCCCAGATATTAGGAGTACAGGCCAGCCTAGAATGCTAAGCAAGTGAAAGGCCACCTGAGTAACTTAAGACACCCCATCTCAAACAAACAGCAACAAAAAGTCCAACAAGTCTTAGTGAAATAAACATGTTTTCCCTCTCTCTCTCTCTCTCTCTCTCTCTTTTTTTTTTTTTAGCTTTCCATTCTATAGTTTAATGAACTTGAATTGATCCTTCTTGTCTATAGTCTGTGCATGAATTTCTTTCACTGAATGGATAGCAATGTTTTTTTTTCTTTTTAATTTTGTGAGTGTATTACCTGCATGTGTATGTGTACCACATATGTGCAGTACCTGTGGGGACCACAAAAGGGTGTTAGATTCCCCTGGAACTAGAATTACAGAAGGCTGTGAGCCACCATATGGTGCTGCGAATGAAACAAGCAGCCAGTGCTCTTAATTGCTAAGCCTTCCCTCCAAACCCAAACTTCTGTTGTTTTGAGAGAGGACCTCACTATGTGGACCATGTTGGCCTTGAAGGCACATAGAAATCCACTGCCTCTGCTTCCCGACTGCACATCACACCCAGCCCACCAGCCCCAAGTTTATCTCTTTTGAGGCAGATTCCCACTGTGTTGCTGAAATGCCCATGAAGGTACCTATGAGGGACAGAAGAAGGAATTAGGTCCCCTGGAGTTGGAGGAGTTACAGGCCACTGAGACTCACTCAACATGGTTGCTAGGAAGCTAACTCAAGTCTCTCTGCAAGGGCAGGCTCTCTTAACATAAGCAATCTCTCCAGCCCTTGAGCTAACAGTTCTTATAAAACTAAAAGGAAGAATTAAAGTCTTTTGACTATTTAGTGCTCAAGAGACACAAAGGATCCCTTTTTTCTGATATGAAAAGAATAATTAAGAGGAGTCAAATTATATATACGTATATATCTCACAAAAGATGGTAATATTTGTATAACACTGCTTTATCTATGAAACTATATTTAGTTATAGCCTGCAGTGATCTGAATGACAATGTTTCCTATGGGCTACTGTATTCGAACACTTTGTACTCTTCCTGCTTTGTGCTTACTGTGAAGTTTTTGTTTCCCACTTCAGTCACCATGGTAGCTGTTTGCTGCTATGACAGATTGTTATCCCTCTGAACGGTAAGCCCAAAAGAAACTCTTCTGTAAGCTGCCTTGGTCATGGTGTTTTATCACAATAGAAAAGTAACTACTGCACTATTTATTAAATATTAACTGACATAGCACTACAACTTTTTTACAGTAACTGTGATTTTGAAATTACTCTGTCATACAGGTGAAAAACTGATGCTAAGACAGGCCATACAGCTTCAGTAAATAACAGAAGAAGGGAACCTAACAGATAAACAAGTATTTCCAAAAGGAGCTCCAGTCCAGACTTTCAACTGGGCCATAACAGTTAACAGTGTAATCTACCACCACCTTTGTCTCTTCAGTTTCCTGATGGTTCCAATTCTTAGGAAATAAATACAAAAAGGAATAGGCAGGTCATTTTTTTTTTAAGTCATATATTTTTAGAATGTATCAGATGAGAACAAGAAGTACTGGAGAGCTACCACACAGCAAAGTGGCTATAGATGGTTATAATAAACTGTACATTTCAAAATATTAAAAAAGAAACGATTAAGAGCTTGGGGAGGTAGGTCAGTAGGTAAATCACTTGCCTTGAAAACAGATGACCTAAGTCTGAACTCCTAAGTCAGAACCCATATAGAAGCTGAGCACAGCAATGCACATCTGTAATCTCACTGCCTCTGTGGTGAGATGGGAAGTGGAGACAGGAGACTCCTGGGAAGCTCAATGACACATTTAACTGTAGTCAGCTGTAAAACAGAGACCTTGGAAGGTGAGGACTGACACCCAAAGTTGTCTTCTGACCACTATATGTGTACGGTGCCAAGAATGCACCTGTTCTCATACATTCAACACAAGCACACACATAAATGTACCACACACCCACACACACAAAAGAATACTGAAGAGATAGATGTCTAACCTGACGTAAACATTATAGGATATATATGTATGTATGTATGTATGTATTAAAACATTACATAGGACCCTACAACTGTGTAAAACTACTTTTGTTTTGAAGTGGGAGGACAATTTTATTAAAGTCTGAGAAAAACAACAGGGAGAGCTAGCGGTAGATCCTGGCTTCTGCCTAAGGCAGCAAGATGAGGATGAGAGAAAGCCATGCCTTCTGCAATGGAAGTTGGCAAGCAGCTGTATGGTGGAAGGCAGAGAAGACTTAGAAGAGTGAGAGACCCAGGGTGCTAGAGAAAACATGCTTAGGCTCTTTGGCCAGTATCTGAAAGAAAAGATCTAGGACAGGAAGACCATCTGGGAAAGAGGTATATACACTGACTTATTAAGGAGCAATTGTTCCTCTGTTCTCCTTCACATGTCTTGGTGAACAAGCTTTCCTCTGGGTGGATTCCTGGTAAGGTGACTGACAGCAGTTGGATTAACTGTTTTTTTTTTTTTTCCTTTTAAACTGCAGTATCTTTTATACATGTAAACAATGTATCTTGATCATATCCATCCCTAAATCTCCTTCTCACTCCTCTAGGAGTGAGAACCATGTAAAACCTTTATGGTTTATTTTCATGGTGCTAGGGCTTGAACTCATGGCTTCACATATAATAGGCAGGCACTGGGACATTGGCACAGTGTAAGTGTAGTCACCCTAGAATACCAACTAAACAAAGTTTATGATCATACACTTCCCTAAGTATGATGGCTGCTACTCTTAGTTGTCAACTTGATTGGATCAGCAGTCAACTGAACTGTATGCGGCTAGACACTCCTAAGACGGATTTTCTTCATTTGAAATGGGAGGACCCACCCTAAATGTAGGTAGCACCTTCTGATGGCAACTCAGATAAAATGACATGAAGAAGGAAACTGCGTTTTGTCTGCTTGCCTTCACTCTTGCAAGTGTACCTATCCTGTTGGGGTGACATTCCTTAGCTGATAGTAGAACCAGCAGCTCTCCAAGAATCCTCCGGGCCTTTAGTACCAGACTAGGACTCCTAAGACATCCAGTCTTGTGAACTGAGCAATTACTGATTCTTAGTCTCTTTTGGGTGACACAGTCATTGTTGAACTACTAAAACAATATCACGTAAGCCAATCCAGCATATCCCTTAAATCCCCTAATAGTTAGTTGTTTTTTTTCTTTTCCAGTTAAAAGCTTTATTGATCTGAGAGCCCACAGGTACTTTTTCAAAAAAAAAAAAAAAATTTTTTTTTTGAGCCCAGAAAACACATACAAGAAACATTATATGGACTGAGCAGTTACATTTAGGGATATATATGGATATACAAATACATATATGCATGGAATAACAATTAGTGGGAAAAAAGGCATGGATTTGAAAGAGAATAGAGAGGGATGTATGGGAGGGAGTAAAATGGAAGGGAGAAATGTGACTAGATTACAATCTTAAAAAAATTTTTAATGCCTAAATACTTTATTTTTATGTACACGTGTCTATATCTGTGTACACGATGTTCATGGAGACCAGAAAAAGGTGTCAGATAACCCTGTAGCTGGAGCTACAGGTGGTTAAGAGCTGCCTGATAGGGACAGGAACTGAACTTGGGGCTAACTCTCCAGCTTTAAGTCCCCATGTACTCTCTCCTTTCTTCTCTCTCTCTCTGTAAAAATGATGTCTGGTGGCTGCTAAGATATGCACAGCTTAATATTTCACACTGCTTACCTGCAGCAGACACTGGGAGATATCTGCATTCTCTGGACTGTCAAAATGCAGAAGTTGGGAGCCAAAACCATAGAAACGGGGCCCCATTTTGTGGAGGTCCACGACATTAGCATCGGCACTGAACACAGTCCTCCATCCCTCTTGGTATATCTTGGGAATCTCCACAGAAAGGATGCGTCGCTTGTTGTCAAAGAGTCCTTTAGCCAGCCACAAGGGAAGCTCAATTTTTGTGCCCTGTATGAGACAAGAATATGTAATTGAAAAACAAAGGCACAGGCAGTGTATGTGGAAAAAAAATGGAAATTCATATTTTCTGGGAAATACCACCTCTTCTACTGGAGAAGTGACTATGAAGTGATCTGAAGAAATGAAACATAGACTTAAAGTTTTATTCACTTTTTGTTTTTGCACGCGCACACGTACGTGTGTGTGTGTGTGTGTGTGTGTGTGTGTAGGGCAGGGACACAGGGACACACACTGTCTACCTGACACACGTGGTATGTATGGAGACCAGAGGCTGCTGTCATATGACTTCCTTTATCACTTATCCATCTTAATTTTGAGACAGCTCACTTCCTGACCTGACACGACCTATTTCAGTCAAACTAGCTGCTCCGTGGGCTCTGGTATGCACCAGTCAACCTCCTGCCATTGCTGGACTTAAGAGACACAGTCATGCCATGTTGTGGATCTAGACTCAGGTCCTCATGCTAATATAGCAAGAACTTTACTCACCCAGCCACATCTCCAGCCCTCATTTACATATTCTTAACTGGTATGTTAAACGGTATGTTTATGGGGTACTAGATGCTTCTGCAATACTTGTTCATATTGTATAATGTTTAAATCAAGTTAACCACCCCCTTCAAACATTTGTTTTTTCTTGATTTTTTTGAGACAGGGTTTCTCTGTGTATCTTTGTAAACTATGCTGGCCTCAAACTCAGAGATCCCCTGCCTCTGCCTCCCAAGTGCTGGCTTGTGCCACCAATGCCAAGGCTAAATCAAATGTCATTTCTTTAGATTGAAAACATTAAAAATCCTTCCTCCAGTTTTTCAAAATGGCAAGTGCCTCAATGCAATCTACAGTCACTTTAGTACTCAGCAGCACATTGGAACTCCTTAATTCTAACTCTAAAGTAACGCCTGCTAGGTGCATTCCAGCCAACGCCCCCACCCCCCTCCCCCCCACCCCCCGCTGTCCCAGCCTCTGACATCACTGTGCTACTCTCAATTTATATGTGACCTGCTCAGGCTGAGGTTTCACGTTATGATGCAATGAAAGCAGAAAATAGATTCTAACAACAACAACAACAAAAACATGACAGAGAACAAAAACAGAAGTGGAAGTTTTCTTTAAAAAAATGAATACAGTTTTTACTTTCTTTGAATATTCTCCATCTATGGTATATAAGTACCAATCTGGATGATGGCAGAAGAGAACAAAATGGAATCAATCGGAAGTCAGGTGGTAGTCCGGCCCCAACCCACATCATTGGCTACAGAGATATCAGAATGGGTCAATAGCTACGATTTCAAAGCCTTAAAAGAATTGGAAAACAACATGACAAGATGAGATCAGGGGCCAGAAATGACAAGAAACCCCCTATCTGAAGTCATAGGGCCCTAGGTTAGAATCCCAGTTTACCACTTACTGGAGGACCCTGGCCTTGTTATCCTGCCTTTATTGGGAGGGCAAATGGGCTAATACACGGAGCTGCCACATTCCCTCAGAACCATGAAAACTCTAAGCCACCATGGACTTCTGTGGGACCCTGGCCAAGCCACTCAATCTTTGTTAAGTTGCCTACGTGAGAGTTAGGTGCAATTTAGCACACAGTTAAGTTACACCCACCTTCATCCCACTGTCCCCAGCTTCCGCCCACCCTGGATAACCCGCCCTTGGAAACAAACAGGCTGCTGACACTGTCATCACTGTGCAGAATGCACAAAGCAACGTGCAGTTCCCAGACTTACAAACTCAAATAAGTTTTACGGGAAACATGAACCAAGACCCGGAGATGCTCGGCTAGGGCCAATCCTTCAGCGTTCGTACAGACAGTAATTTTGGAAAGTTTGAATATAAATTCAATGGTGGCGGGAGACCAGGGAAGTGCTATGCAGCTTCCCGGGGTCCCCGCGCCCCTCCACCCCCCGCCCCCGGGCTCGCCTCACCTGAGGGAGCGCGTAGTCCGACTCTGCGCCCGCTCCTCGCTCCAGGAAGAAGGCGCCCAGGCGCGGCATGGGCGTCTCCACGCGCACCGGCAGCTTCTCCTGCGACATTAGGATGTCGTCCAAAGACAGGAAGTTCTCCTCAGGTCCCAGAGCGCCCGACTCCACCGGGAAATAGGCCTCCGACATGGCTACTCGCAGCAGCGTCAGGGGACGAGGAGGCAGAGCCCGCAGCCTCACCGCCCAAACCTCCTTCCAACTCGCTTTCCCGCGCCTGACCCGCCAGACCCGAGCAGTCGATCCCTGAGGGCCTGAGGCTGCTCAGGCAGAAGCAATCGACGAAGTCACAGTTTGGACTAGAATCACCGCCCTGGGTGAGTCGGCTGGAAGCTCTCCCTCAGCCTGTATGCATACATAGCCTTGGCTGGGAAAGGTAGTTAGAAGCTTGGACTTCGTTGAAGGGACAGCATGCCTTTCTTTGTACTGTTTTCATGTGGCCCTCTAAATAAATGTGTAAAATTCAAAAACCATTGTGTATACTATCCACTCCAATCCTCATTGAATATGCTTTTATTACAGCCTTTTCACTGGTAAGTTAATTTTTGTTTCAGAAGAAACTAAAACACAAGCACTAGCCCGAATGCTTAACTGTGTGCCGAGTTATAAACTATTTGTAGTATTTTGGTGTAGCTATTTTGGGTTCAGGTGGGGTGGGAGCTTGGATTTACACATGGGTAGCAAAGTCTTAAAGTCTTTTCCAGTACCTTCCAGCTGTCTTTACTGTCACTGGCTCTTAGCTTAGGTTCCCAAAAGAGGAAATTAGACTAGTCCAGTTAGTCTTTTGACGGCCACCCTCCATGTGAGAGTTCCAGTACCAAGTGTTAATCAAGGGACCAGTGCCTGAACAAGGAAAGGTCATGGTTGCGTGGTGCCAGGGTCGGTGGCACTACTCACACATGGGTACAGGTTGAGGGGGATTATGGAGAGGTGTGCTGCAGAACCTACCTGCTGTGGAAGGGCACTCCTGGGGTAGTGGAGTTTGTGAGCAGAGTGTACACAGGAACAGAAGCACGCTGACTTTCATTCTTTGCTTTTTTTTTTTTTTTGTAGTTTTGAATGAAATAATTTGTTAATGTATTTACATAATTCACTACATTTAAGCAATAGCCTTCTAAATATGGACTAGAGCTTTACATATGCTAAGCAAGTCACTTGTTTTTTTTCTTGCCAAAAATACTTGAGTTAAATGAATATTTGAAGTATTTACACCACATTCTTTACTTTTTTTTTCTCTCCCTTTAACAACCAGTGCTAGTCACTTCAAAACAATTTATTCTAGACAGCTACTTTGAAAGGTCCAGTAATGTAAAGCATGGTGGCACATGCCTAGAATCCCAGCAATGAGGAAACTGAGGCAAGACGATATTACAGTTTAATAAGGATCAGGATAAACAAATAGGCTGAACAGATGTTTATTCAGGGAGAAATAACTTACAACCTAGACAGATGAACACCAGCAGGTTCCATCAGATGCTCTCCTGTCCCCGTCCCAGCAGCAAGACAGTGTTCCCAGGCTTCTCCTCAGACCTATCGCCACAGGTCACTTCCACCCCTGGCTCCACCCCCAATGGGCGTGGCCAGTGCCACAGAAGCAGACAAGTGAATATCTCACTACAATTCCCCTTTTAGTTTAAATAAAAGATTTAGGCTTGATAAAAACTATATACAAAACAGTGAATAACAAATGTGCTCTAAAAAAGGAAGATCAAGAACAAAACAACCTACATATCTAATCCTAGGGTGAAGGCATAACAGAGTTTACAACATAATTATCCTAAGCTGGAAAGCTTAAGTCTAATACCTAATATATCTAACTAGGAAGAGAGAATAATAGTTGTGATAGTTTAATCTTCAACCTCATCAAGACCTGAGAAGGAAAATAACAATACTAGGGTAGACAGGAAGTGCAGATGGGCAACTTCCAAAAGGTGCAGTGAGGACAGAAACAGCAGGCTACCTGGACAGTCATCCAAGGTCTCACAGCAACGTTCCTACACCCAGTTTTGGCTAAGGCCAAGAGAACTTGACAGACCACAACAAAAGCAGGGAGGTAAAAAAGCTGTCTTACCCTGACTTGGCAAGTTCAGCAGTCTTCTATGTTTGTCTCCTTTAGCACATAGGACTGCATGTCCAAATCAGTGGTCAAGGTGGGGGCAGTTCTTTGCCCAAGAGGCCATTAGCTGAAGCGAGGATGGACTCCAGAAGGAGCGACAACAGTGTCCAACATATTTCGGGAAAGTGCATGGTGCTGTCAGGAGCAACAGTGTCTCATGTCAACAGAGCACTAACATTAAAACATTTAAATGCCATGTTCTGCAGGTCTATGAAGTGATTGAAGATTAAGCATCTATGTCTGACTAATCTCATATGTAAAGGAAACATGGGTGAAGATAATCTGTAATACTCAGGAACTTAGCTAAAAAAACTGATTGAAACTTCTCTGAGTAAAGCAGGGACAAATACCTAACCAATATAACTATGTCCATGTAAATTCCTAAAGTAGAGGTAGAATAGAAATGTCTAGACTAGAGGTAGAACCATAAAAGGCAGCATGATAAAAATATCCTAAATTGTATCAATATAAAAATGTCTTGAACATAAGTAAAAGTATACATACATAGAATATGGTAAGGATAACGTGCATAAAACATCATAAATGGAAAGATTTCACACAATATGACAAAATATAATATACAATTCTTCCAGGAAGGGAATATAAACTTAATTTTACATAGGTTACCACAAATAAGAATATATAACAATGTAAACTGTATAATACTAATATCTCACTCTTACTAAATAACTCACAAGAAGATAGGGTAATCTACCTATATCCCATCTAAACCATACCTTTCCCAACCATACCCTATTCCTGTCTAAAAGATAAACCCAAGTGTAAGGAGTAAAGTTTTTCCTCCCGTTGCTGGTCTTGTCCCACTGCCACGCCAGCCCCAATTAACACACAGAGTCTCTATATTTTGGTCAGGTACTAGTTTCTTATTGGCTAACACTCTGTCTTAAGTATTAACCCATTTCTGTTAATCTACATATTTCCATGTGGTGGTCTTATCTTACCAGGGAGAGGCGGCTGGCAGTTCTGCCCTCTCCATACTCTCCATCTTGACTCCTCCTTACTTCTTCCTCCTTCCTTTTTGTCTCTTAGTCCCTCCTATCAGTCAACAGTGCTTTATTCATTAACCAGTATGAGAAACATATATACATAATGACATCTCTCATCACCCAAGTCTAAGCATCACCTTCCATACCCCGCCCTAAGTAACTAAAACCAACCCTAAGAAGATTAATATTATCCCTAAATTCCAAGAATGGGGAAAGGGAGTGACGTTATCTTAAGATTACTTCCTGCTGACATGGGATGATGATTGCTCCATGGGATCCTGTAGGAAGAAAATTTTAAGCAACCAAATTTCTCAACAGAACTGGCTGTGACATATGTAGCTAGTCACTGTGTGGCAGAAAATGCTTGACTGTAGTTCTATTTGAAACTCTGGCCAGAGTGTAATAAGAAGGTGCACCATTACAGCTAGCTCATCATGAGTTGTCTCGAACAAAATGGTCTCAAACCGGTTTTATGGTGATGTTTGTAGTCCAGATGCATCAGGTTGAGTCAAGTGGAAATGTCGAATTGGGGCCCCATCTTCTTTCCAGAGTGTTAGGAATTATTACTATTCCTTGTTGAAAACTTAAACATCAATATCAAATTAAATTTTTCAAGTTTTAAGGTATGCATATAGGGAAAGGTAACAATAAGCATTAAAATGTATATGAGAAAATTGGGATTTCAGAGAGAAAATTTCATATAAGCAAATGAGTCCCCAGATTTTGTTTTCTTACATCAATTGGCTTCTTGATATAAGGCAGAAACTATGAATTTAATCTTAACAACATGTTTGAATTTAGATAAGGAAAGCCAAATCCAACTCCAAAGCCAGCATTGGTTTACATGAATTGGGACTACAGGAATACTAAATAGTAAAGAGAAATAGAGTTATGTATAGAAATAGTTTACCAGAATTAAATATTTTTTTTTTTACCATAAATCAGATTCCTCTTCATTAAGTGATTCTTTCTGGAGAGCTGTCTTCTCTTCTGTAGGTACCTACATATTCAGTGTCTTTTGGCTGTATGAAGATAGGTGTTCTCTGTTTTCCTGTAAGGACAAGAACAGCACACTTTCCCTACCTTTGAGAGGTCTCCACACATCTCATGGGACCCAATTTGTTGGATGTCTTGTCATTTCTCTTCATTAAAATGTTTCTCATGTTCAACTCGGATCTTGATCGACTTAGATGGTATCCATAGCTTTTCTTCTCCTGTAGGTACAATTGCAAAACCTCTACCCCAACGTAAAACACATATCCTGGTTTCCATTCTGAGGTCAATACATCCTTGAAATACACCGGCTGATTTAGTTCAGATGTTTTTTCTATTGTCCAGTGTCTTTCTGAAGCTGTTTTTCCTTTTTCATTAGCATTAAGAAAATTTAATGTTAATAAAGCATTATGTAATCTGCGTTTGGGTGTCTTGGTTCCTCTTGCCTGTTTATGAAGCATTTCTTATGGAGTTAAGACCTCTGTTATCTTGATGTCTTCTCAGACCTTTAGATATGACTTCTCCTACCCAAGTTTTATTGTCATTATACTCAATGTTGGCTATATATAGGACCCATTCATCCAAGGGTGCTGATCTGATTTTTAAAGGCCAAAGCACTTGCTTGCATTGTGGATTCACATTCTCATAAGCTAATGATTCTATGAGTATTCTCCTAGAATCTGTCTGCAATCTCTAATTGTACTGCCCTAGATAATCTTTCTAGAAACACACTAAAGCGTTCTCTCAGTCCTTGCCTTATCTTGGTATAGGATTCTATCCTCTCCCCTAATTCATGAACCTTATCCCAAGCATTCAGAGCTGCTGTATTGCATAGAGACAAGATATGTTCATCATAGGCAGCTTGGGTTTCTGGATCAGCATAAAGACCCTCACCAAGAATTTTATCTTGGGGAGCTTTATAACCTTTCTTTAAGCCTTGAAGTTCAAGAGCTTTTGTTTCCTCTCTCCATAAAGCCCTCCATTCTAATTGAGAGTAGTTTTCAAGGACAGCTGATATTAATTGATTCCAATTCTTAGGGGTTACCTTGTTATTCCTTGCCCATGATTCTATTAATTGCTTCACATA